GGGCGAGGCTGAGAAACGCTGCGGGCGGCGCAGGGCGCGTGCGCGCGCCCCCGGGACTCGGACGCCGCGCGCCCTGAAGGTGAGCGCCAGGTGAGCCGAGCTCCGGCGCGCCCGCGGGGGTGCAGGGCGCCGGCGTGAGTTCGCCTGTCCCTGCTCTCGGTCTGAGACCTTCCCGCGGAGGACGGAGCCCCCCCTGGAGCGTTTGCGTACGCGCGTGGCCTGCCCACCCCAGAGAAGCAGGGGGCTCCCAGGGCGCGCTTTTTCTTACCGTTTCCCACGAACGCTTCCTTTCCAGTTGGAAACGAAGGGCATTCAGGGCGGAAGGGCCTGAAGACACGCTTTCGATATTTTATTTTTACCACCCGTCTTCAGAGGCTTGCTTTTATTTCAAAATACTTACTAAACCTTGGAACAGTTTTACATAGTGTGTTTAGGAGTATCATTCTTAGTGTTTCTGTGTGATTTTCAAACCCAGGGACGTGTAGGGCGGCGTGTTTTTTCCAGTAGCTCGCGGCGTGGTCGAGAGGCCGAGCGATGACAGCCGGGCGGCTGCTCAGAGGGCTCAGCGTGCAGGCGAGTGACTTACATGAAACGGGCGGTTCCTCTAGGCGTGCATTTTATTGCAAATGCCGTTTACTTCCAGTTTTGCAGAGCAGCAGGGTCAGAAAAGAATTCAGTCTGCCATGTGTTAGAGTAAATTTGGAAACAAACGCTTCACTCCTGACTTGACAAAAGAAAGAAGTTTCTGTACTAAAACAAGACTGATTAAGCCGTGTTCAGTATTGTGGAGCCAAGCCCTGTATCAGGTTAATGTGTTGGAAAATCTGAACAAAGTAGTCATCCGAGCATCTGTTAGTCCCCGCAGGTCCCGCCCCCTGTGGCCCTGAGTATTCCCTTCGTCTTTCATTAACGCGTCCCCTGTGCGATGCGGCTTTCCGGTGGTTTGGTACAACTCGGGTCCGATGGCTCGATACAAATAAAAGTGAAGTTTTGCATCTTACCCACGTCAGAATCAGGCTGACGATCACCTAATGTTCTGTTTCACGGAAAGAGTCTGTTAAACGTCTATTCTAAGAAGAGAGCGAGCCCTGCTTTCCTAACTTGGTGTTTTTTCTGCCAGCTAGGTTTCCGAGAGCCAGGCTTTTCAATGGAATGCTTGGATGCGTGGTCTAGCCTTTTTTCCGAGATTAGCTTCATATGGCTTTGCTGTTTATGTGCTTTCTCCCTCCAGTATTACCTTCATTGAACTAAGCTTTGACTAACTTAGTTTTTTTAAGGGACGTTGTTTTCCCGGCCCTTCTTGGCAACAGTGGGATTTCACACCATGCCTGGTATCAAAACTCGCCAGGGCTTTTATTTTAGCTTTTTTCCCCTAGAAAGAGAAACCTTTCTTTTTAGAACTTATTCAGAGGGTGGTTTTCCGTTTGTCCTTCCAAGCTTGCTCACAGCCCCGCTTGCTTTTGCCAAGGGGGATAAAGAACAAGCCATTGCGGCTCTGCTGATCGGAGGTGAGGTGCGGTGCCATCCCTCATCGGTGCCCTGTTCTGGGTGCCGTGCGCTCCCTGCCCGCTGAGGCCTGCGCCCCTTCACAGCCCACCGAAGGCTGGAGACGTTTGCTAACCTAACGCTCTTCTGGAATTTAAACAGTTATCTTATTTTCAGCAAAAACTTAATAATATATTTCACACAGGTTATGAAACTCCTGTCAGTCACATTTACACATAAGATTGAAATGTGTTACTTACTAAAGTGGATTTCCAAGTGTATGTTAAAATGCTGATCCCCCCCCCGCCCCCCACGGAGAAACGAGTTAATAGAACAGGCCCTAACCAAAGGCAGTGTGTGAACTTTGGGCCTGGTCTGGGAAAAACAGCTGTAACAGGTGCTACCGAGACAACCAGGGAGACTTACGTAGGGTGTCAGTGTTAAGTCGTATAAGTAATTAGTGATGTGTGAGGATGGTGTTGACCCGAGGTTGTGAGTTAGAGTGAGGGGTTCAGTCCCAGCCCTGCTGCTGGCCGCTGTGTAATCTCAGGCTGCGTGTTGAGTTTTGTGCTCTGGTGGCTGTTTGATGACACAGCATTGTGCTCTACAAAAGGACGGGTTCCGTTTATTTTTTGTTGTTATTCGATGTTCAGTGCCCAGGGTTCCTGGTACTCTTTTTGGTGCCTTCCACCTCTCACCTTTTTATTTATTTATTTTTTATACTCACCTTATTGAGGCTTTTAAATCAAGAACTTTCTAATCTCTAATATTTTACACACACACATATGTAGGTATACATGTATGAAACTATTTCCTCACATATCTTATTGATGGAGTAAAAGAAGATAGCTCCTTTTTTGCTCTTCCTCCCCTCTCATTCTCCCTCCTGAATTTCAGTTAAGAAGTGAGAATGAGCAAGTAAATTTTGAGGTAGGACATAGTTTAACGATTGCATCAATCAGGGTTTGATTCTAGAGATTTACTGCTCTCCTTAGAGAGATGAACAGATATATATTTGCACATATGTATTCAGACATATGTGCAAAAAATGTTTTATTAAGTAGAACCAGATTGGTGAGTATATTCAAGTCAGTTAATTACTTAGCCTCCTGAGCTAAGAATATCCTGCGCTCAGTGGATTATAATTCTAAGTTTGCAGGAGGCCTTTAAGCACTTCCACCTGTTAACCAGGTGAGACGTTGCAGTGGAGTAACGGAGCTTTCCCAGATTTCAGAATGCTCGAGTTGGAGCAGACCTTAGACATCAGATGGCTCAAGGCTTCACATGCCACGTGAGAAAACAGTATCTAGGCCCTGCAGAAAACTCAAGACCCTCTGGACACCAAACCTGTGAAGCCCAAACAGGAATGTTGATTTAGAATTTAAAGGAAAATAGTAGAGCACAGAATGGTTTTGAAAAGAAGCAGGTATTAGGACCTTTTGCACACCTTTCCTGCATGTGTCTCTTCTCTGCCAAGCTGCTTCCATGCCCGCCCTTGTTAACTTCCTGCCACATAATTGGCCCTCAAAAACCATGAAGCAGAGCCTGCCATAGGAGTCTCTTTCCTGTCATCCTGTTTAGTTTTGACCAACTCAACGCAGTTGAACACCCATTCTGATTGTTAAAACGCTCCCTCATTTTAACTTGAACTAGAAAATCAGATAAAACTTCTGAGAATAAGTGAAAGGCAGATGAGCATCTTCAGCCTACAAGAGAACTGCCTCTAGAATATCTGAAAACCTTACCCCATTTTAAGTGGTGTTATAAATAGACCGTGCTAGGCTGTTAGTTGGAGCCTTTTCGTACTATGCAAAAAGTTAGGAATTACGCAGATTACAGTACTTCAGAGAAAGCTAGCAGTTACTGGCAGTAATTTTAGGAAAATCAGAAACCAAGATTGGCAATGCCCAGGAGACATTATGAAAATAAAAATGAGCTTAGAAGAAATCTTGAACCAACCAGTCATGGTTCCAAATTAAGGAGAAAAACAAGATCAAGTTTATTCCATGGTAGTTCCTCTGTCTTCACCTCCATCGTCATTCCAAACCAGGAAGATAGGTTTCTCCTCCATGGGAATTCAGGCCATAAGTGAACCCAAGAAAACCTTTACCTTTGCAGGTTTTGGGGTTTTTTCCTTAACCACTGAAATAAAGACAGCATACCAAATAGAAAATTGAGGGTATTTTTTACAGTTTTACATTACTGTCCCCAACTTACTGTTTGTGTGTTGCTTAAACATTTCTGTTTGCAACAGATAATCATACATACTAAGAAGCTTGTTTTTTCTTTTCTTAGTTCTGCACAAATACGATTTTCAGATTTTTTGACTGAGTAGTTGATTCATGTTTTAGACAACGCTGACAGAATTAAGGAGGGCTGCTGAGTTGTGGATTTTTACATTTACCAGGCTGTTTAGAACATGACTTGATTCTCGGATTGTTGTGCAGTCATTGCATCACTGTAATGTGAGGTGATCATCTTGGTGATCATTTTCATGCAGGACTTCTGCATGGAGCAGCGCATGAAGACAGAGCCCTTCGTGTTTGTCCTGAGGTCACCTGTTGTAAAATAGGGTAGAGTTTAAGCTACTGTACAATTCTAGAGTTCTGAATTGAAAATTAAATTATCTCCAAGTTGGCATTTTAGATTTTAAGTACTACATCTTGAAATACTTTTGTATGGGGAAAAATGTGCCGTTGCTAATTTATAGTTCAGTAAAAGGCCTGTGTTCAGATCCTGAACCAAGGTGTTTTAAGGAGAGTGACACGATAGGTGACTGGGCTGGTGAGGGCATCGACCCTGTGCCAGGAAGCCCTGTGCAGAGACTGGACTTGCGTGAAACAGCCTCGGGAACGTGATTCATTAGATAGGCTCTTTCTGTGCTCACAGGAGAACAGGTTCACAGGAGAACCTGTTTGAAGGATATTATCAGCACTGACAACACATATTTGCATGCTCTAAATGATAACTTCCACAACCTGTAAATCAGAACATCTAGAAGAGTTGTTTGGACATGACTGTTTATAAAAGATCTTATTTTATTTCAATAACTCTTTCAAGTAGCTAAACTTAAAATTTTTGCCTTAACATAACAATTGAGCTACATCCTGGCAAGGAGAATTGCCATTTCAGAAGCAAAAGTAATTTTTATTTAAAACTTGAAATCTATAAAACTTTCGATATATTCTTAAATGGTGTGAAGTTTAATGTTCAGGAAACCAGTTCACTTAACATTGAAAGTTTGACCATTCATTCAACGCATATATTTTTGGATGCCTTGCAGAGGTAGGTACCACATTAGGTTCCAGGGTTTCATATAAAATTACATGCCTGTTTAGTAGGCGAACATGGAAAGTTTATTGTTAATAGGATTCTGCAGCATTGCGCTCTTCTCCAACTTTCATTTTCTACGAAGTGGTCCCTTTGAGACTGTGCTGTCTTGTTTGGGAGCCACAAGCCACAGATGGCAGCTGAGCACTTCAACTGTGGCCGGTCCAGATGAGATGGACCATGGGTGTCAGCACATACCTGGTCTCACAGACTTCGGACCAAATAGAATATAAAATATCTCATAACTTTTAATTGATTCTGTGTTCAAAGTAAAGTATTTTTGATATGTCAAATAAATGAACTTAATAAAATTGCCTTCTGTTTTTCCTTTTAGAAATTTTTCAATGACATGTATCTCCTATTTGTGACTTGCATTATATTGGGTTGTCGGAGAAGTCATGACGTATTTTTTCTGGTTTTCGTTGCAAAAATGCATCATGACTTTTCCGACAACCCAATACACCTGTTGGAAAACTGTGCCCTAAGGATTAAGCTTATTTTTCATAAAATTAAGGTTTAATTTCATTAGGTCCAAGTTGTTATTAGAAATATTTCTAGACTTTCTGAAGTAAAAAAGAAAAGAACATGTGCTGCTAAATACTAGTTCTTGTACTAAAACTTGAATACATGTCAAGTTGAAGTACCTAATAGATCCGGAATCTTTGAAAACATCTGATCTTTTCTTTCTTTCTTTTTTTTTTTTTTTTCATGTTTCCCCTGTCTGAACTTCGGTGATTTCCCACCAAATAGTACGGTAAGAAAATTGTTTCTACTTTATTTCAGGCTTTTTCAGACTTTCTGAATTAAGGTTATGGACAGCAGACCTGGCTTCCTTTGCTTTGATAGTATCTAGTCACCATGGCTAGCGAGTTTTGGGCTAAGTGCGCCTCCAGTGTCCCCCTGAGGTAACGTCTCTGGCAAGACCAGTGTCTGTTGGGCTGACATCCTGACCTCACTGGTAGCAGTCAATACAGAGCCTGACAGCTGATGTAATGGAGACGGATTCCAAACCAGTGGATAGATCATAGTGCACTCATTTGTTTGAATGTTCTTTTATTCTCAATTAAGAATTGTAGTGGAATAAAAGTATTTTCCCATTTAATCTAAAATACGTTAATTTTCTTTCAAATGTTAACCATGAACTGCCTTATTTTCCTAGACACTGGCTAGTGAGTGTCTGACAGAGCATAGGTCAAACATGAAGTTCAAAAGGGAAGCGAGAGGTAGAGCTGGTACTGGACAGGAAGGATGTGTTACATTTTCTGAGGTTAGATATCTTAGGAACTAGTGTTGAAACTATTTTTATCTTTTATGTACTGTTGAAGAAATATATTTTAAGTATAGCACATTGTTCACTGTGTACTTCTAGTCCTCACCTTGCACAGCTCACTGTACACTCACAGTGCACACCCGTCCTTACCTTGCAGAACCCTGTTTCATACGGCCCTAACTCATAACACTGAGACTTGTACTGTCACCTGACGAACACTCCCCAGGGCTCCTTAAGTGTGCAGGTGCTGCGCGGCCTCTGCTTGGCCCCACTGTGAGAGACGACACCTCTGTGCCCCTCTTGGAGGATCTCTTCAGCCTCTTTGACAGCCTGACCCTGTGCACGTCGAGTAGACCCCAAGACCACTGTGCAGGGCCGAGCAGTGGAAGGACATCACAAGCAAAGAAGTGAAAATAGATGCACCTGGAGAAAGGCCTGGTTGAGAAAGGAGGAAAGGAAGACCTCTGTGGAATAGTAAGCGCTGGAAATGGAGTGACACCCACCAGTGGACAGGGAGGAGAGATGGAAGTGGGTCAGGAAGGTGGACACTCACCAAGGTCTGGTGCACAGGGAAGAAAGAAGTGGCGACCCCTCGTGTAGGTGTCAGAAATATTCTAGTGTTGGCGCTGAGTATCTCACTCTGAAACTGCCTGGCCTGGAGACAGGAGGACTCGGTGGCCCCCCAGAACCTCGGAACTTCTGTGCACGCTGTGCCTGCCCTACGGGGCCCATCCTTCAGGTGTTGGCGGACACCCTTACTGTGCTGACCGCGTGGGAGCCCGGGCGGTTTACAGCTGTTGAAGGCCTGGGCAGCGTATTCTTATATCAGCCAGACTTCTCATTTACTTTTCATGTATTTCCCTTTGTTTCCCACTTATTATGGAATGTTTGGAATTTAATCTCTGGTCAGTAATAAAAATGCAACATCTAAAAATGTATTCTGCAGCCTGAATTTATCTTAAATGCTCTGACAGGCAGAAGGCAAGTTCTGTTTAATGTCCTGATGCCTTAAAAAAGGGTGGCTAGGCAACACTGTGTGGTTTATTTCATGTTTTAAAGTATTTGCACATTGTACATTAACGAAACCATTTTTAATTTAATGGAAAAAGCCACTGGACTCACTTCAGCCTCAGAAATGAAATTAGGTTGGGTCCACTGATGGGAAGCACGGACAACTTAATTGTGGTGTCCTTGGCTGGCTGTGTAGTGGTCAAGTGAAAAACGGTCAGTCCATTTTTAAATACAAGCTGTTCTCATTGCTTCAAAAGTATTTTGCAATCTTAATTTCTGGGGTTCTGAGTGTAGGTTGGCAGGTTCTCTGATCTTAATGTAGCTCATAAGAGCTGAAAACGCTTTTTACCTTGTTAATTTATTCAGAAAAAATGTCCAATTTAGGGTCTGCATTTTAAGAGCTGTTGACAAATATCTTAATGAAAATTTGAAAAAAAGAAGTTTTGACTTCAGCATTACATTATGGAGAATGGTTATCATAGGTTTTAAGTTATGGCAAGAGTAAATTGTGTAAGAAGTTCATGTCATTTTAAAATTCTCTCACTGGGAGTCAGGTTACATAGCTGGGATCAGAAAGGAAAGTTGGTGGGACTGGTGAACTGCCAAACGCTTTTCTAGCTTTGGGCTCACCCTGTAAGAGCTGCTGATTCACAGGCAAGCCCTGGACCGTCAGATCTGGTAACCATCCCATCATTAAACCGGGAACCGATGCATATGGAAACGTGAAGATTTGTTTCCCACAGTTCACATTATTGTTTAAAGTAAGAGAAGTTGCAGCTGTTCACAGCTCCGCCTTAACTTGAACCCCGTTCCTTCTCTCCCTTCTCATTTTGTGTAGCACTTCTGGGGCCCAGTAGCCAACTGGGGTCTTCCCATCGCTGCCATCAATGACATGAAGAAGTCTCCAGAGATTATCAGTGGGCGGATGACATTCGGTAAGTAAGCAGCTTTGAGTACCTGGGAGGACATTTCTCCGGATGATCACAGCAGCTCCTGTGCGCCTCTCAGCTTGGTAGCACCACGTGGTACGGCCGCTATTAGAAAGGAGCCAAGCACACGATGCCGTGACGGTGTCACTTCTCCTTGGCCAGGATAAAACAGGGCGACTTTGAAATATTTACCTGGAAAGAATTCAGGTCCTGTCTGCCTTTCACATTTACTGCACCCAGTTGAAAATTGTGTCCTCTTGAATTGTATTTGGAAAAAGTGTCATGAAATTTACTTGAAACCCTGATATTTGACCATAAAACTTGAGGGGATTACACAGCATTTCTGTTGGGTAATGAATTGTAAGCAACTCCAGGGACAATCAAGTGGCTGGAACTCATGCCTGCCCACTCCCTGTAACAGCCATGTTCCTAAAATGTTCAGTAAGAAGAAACAAAGGAACAGTCACACGTCCGATGAGCTTCGTGCATAGATGGATCTTCTGTGAAAGGTTTTAGCAGAAGGGCTCTTGCTTCGGTTAAGGCAGTTGACCTGGCGGCCCGCCTACTCCAAGTCTTCTCAGTCGTAAGTCATTGCTTTCCTTTGTGTTGACTTTCTGGCAGCCCTCTGCTGTTACTCCTTGACGTTCATGAGATTTGCCTACAAGGTGCAGCCTCGGAACTGGCTCCTGTTTGCGTGCCACGCCACCAATGAAGTAGCCCAGCTCATTCAGGGAGGACGGCTCATCAAGCACGAGTAAGCCCTGGCACATTCTTCTGGTTTCCAGGATGGGGACTGGCGCTAACTCCTGTCAGAGGCATTGGGGGCGGGGCCGTGAGCGGCGTCGAGTGTGCAGATGTGTGCGAGCAGCTGGGAAACGTGACTCACTGCGAAAGCATGCTGTTGAGTTGGAAACAGCAACTGGGCAGTAATTACCGGGCATGTACTAGGACATTACTGTTTCTGTAAAATTGTCCAAGTAAATGTTACATAAAGGTGACTCCTAAAGCATCCCAGGCCTTTGAGGCTGGCAGGGAAACTTTGATGTGCAGTGAACCTCTCTTTGTGTTTATTTCCAGGATGAGTAAAAAGGCATCAGCATAACAACGGGAAATGAAGGACTGGCTCCTAGAAGGGAAGGAAGGCATTGCCAGCTGCTGCTGAGTCACAAATTCCGTCATGAAGTGTTGCTGAGCAAAATATGCCGAATGCCGTTTTTACTAACCAGACAGTTTTTATAGAAATAGCTGACAGTTGTAAACCAACTCTCGGCTGCCTTACGAGTCCTGAGTATTTTACTTCTCCTCATAAAGACTAGCTCCAAATATGCAATCATTTTAATAATTCCCAATGATGGTTTTATCTGCAGTAATATGTACATTATCTCTTAGAACTGAGTTAATGAAAAACTGAAGAGAACAAAATGAATAACTATTGGCACTGAAGTGCTCAGAATTCTTGATTTTTCTTTTAATGACCATGAGACACCCAACAGCTGGCCACATACGTCAACTCTCGTTGCCAGTATTTGAAAAAGTATCTGTTTCCATGCAGCCTGTACATTGAAATGCTGTAACTTAATGGCAATAAATGATGTCAATATTATCAAATGAAATGAGTAAATATCTTGCCATGTTTTTAAGAAACTGCAGAACTATATCCCTGAAAAGACAGATATAAGTGTAAAATGGAACTCCTTGAAGATGGTCAAGATGGCAGGGAAGTGCCAGGCTGGAGGGCAGGTTCTGGAAGCGTCACAGCCTCAGCTGTCCAGAAGGCGTTCTTTCTCTAGGGCAGACATTAGAAACGCCCCCAAACACTGTCCTGAAAGAAGGCCCGATGACCTGACTTCCGGCCAGCGCGGGCCTTCTGTCCCCAGGAAGCCGTGGGGATTGCAGGGCCGTAACCCCCTGTGCTGGGCACCGGGGCAGGACCCGGCCGCTGGGGAAGGGCTGGAGCCTGCGCTCCCAGAGTCGGGCACGTGCCTCAGCTCCCGAGGACTCAGCCCTGCCGGCTTCAGTCACCATCCGCTGTCAGGTTAGGGTTCTAAACCTTCACCATGAACATGCGCCAGCCTTCTCTGGCAGTGACGTATGAGGGCAGCAGACAAAGCTGGGGTTGGCCTGCCCCCGGGAGAGCCCTCCCCAGCCTGGGTCCTCTCCCCTGTGTCGTCTCCTGCTGCTTTTCCTCTTCTTCCTTGAAAAGGCGCTGGATGGTTTACAAGGCAGGCAGTCTGCTCTCTTTAGCGCCCCGCAGCCCTGGGAGGCAAGCAGGCCTGCTCTGCTTCCATGTCCAGGGGCGGGAACGGGGCGGGGAGCTGGGAGACACCTAGTGAGAGGCAGCGCCGCCGTCTCCTGCCCCAGCTGCCTGCTGCCTGCAGCTCCGTCAGGCACCTCGCTCCACAGCCCGCAAGAGTGGAGGCTGCGTGGAAGGAACTAGAGGAGCCTGGACTGGCCTGCTTCATTTATGACGGAAGTGATATTACTTGTAAAAGAAAAGTCAGCCTCCCCAGGGGCTTCTAAAGCAACAACCGAAACCTGCGCCTTTCCCCTTGTCTGTCTCCAGCCCCTGTTACTTTTGTGGTTTGGGATGTGTTCCTTTGGCCACGTTGGAAAAATCTCGTCCTACCTGTCTTGAGTGCTGTGTGAGGAGCAAGGGGATTTTCCGCACCTCTGTCAGAAAGACTTATCTCCCTAAAGGGGCAGCCTGTAGGTGTCACCCGGCTGGAAACCCAAGCACCCAGGGACCCAGGAGCAGATACTGGGGAGATTCGAACAGGAGTGGCCCCTGATATTAATAAAACGCCGTCAGCAGGCTGGTCCTGGAGCTTGCGTCAGGCACCTGATGAGGAAATACTGAGGGAGGCCATTCTGCTCCCCGGAAGCTTCCGCTAAGGGGAGGGAGGCCTGCGAAGGGGCACAGACGGCGCTTGGTGCCAAGGCAGGGGCCTGCGCAGGCAGCGCCCTACACAGCAAGCAAGCCTTGATCTTGACCTTCCCAAGAAGAGGAAGGAGCCAAGACAAAAAGACAGCACCCGCTTAGCACCTGGGGACTCCGCAGAGCTCCGGGTAGTGACAAGGACACACAGGGCGGGTGTGCAGTGCTCATGGCGCAAGGCTGATGCCTCATTGCAACGCTGACATGTGAAACGCTCTTTCCAGAGCAGGGTGCCTTGTTTTGGTTTTTTGAAAGGTTCTCACTCTAAAGTGACCATATCTATTGTCTGTCACTAGCAGAAAGGGTGCTGAGAACACCTGAGTGTTCGGTGTGTCAGTGATGGCCTCAGGCACATGGGACCACTCCACCCATGCTCGTGGGACGCCTGGCACCAGGCCCTGGGCACACTGCTGCGAGGCCTCCCTGACGCGCTCTGCTGGCTCCATCCTCCTCTGGGGATTTGCAGAGCTTTGAGGTGGACTGGCACCGAACATGGTGAGTGGTCCGTCTGAGAGAGTGGGCATTTAGGGTCTAATCTGACCTGGTCCTGCAGTGTGTCCCCAGAGCAGCGGCGTCAGAGAACGCTGCTGGCAATGTAAACACGTTACCAGGAAAAGGGAATAACAGCTACACAGCTAAACCTGAAAACACAGGAGTGAATTGGTGCAAGCCTTATTTTAAAAGCCCAGTAGTACATATTCAAAGTTTTCAATCACCACATGTAACATCCTCTCTAAAAATAATACTCAAAGGTTCAACATATTTTTCATTTCAAATAAAGCACAGAGCGAGCCAGAAGACACAGATGAGCTGTGACTGACTTCCAAGATGAAGTTGACGCTAACTGTCAACACTAAGGGGCCATGTTGGTTTCTGTTACAATGAATTCATGGGCAGGGGTGACAACTGTGAGGTCCTTCCCGCACCAGTAACAACGGCCAACCGGGCAGCGTGAGTCCTGGCCCTGCGAACGGACTCCCGGGCTGCACATGTGTGAGAATTGCCAATGCAGGAAATACTCAATGGCCTTTTGTTTGCGAGGAGCCCCCCTGGCTCCAGTGGTTCAGGATTGGTGCCTCATCCCGACCTCTTCCCATGCACCACACAGCGGGGACGAGCGAGCACTGTGTCTGCCCCTCCACCTGGGTCCAGCTGCAATCCTGTTTTGTTCACATGTGCATCTTGGATTTCTGAGCTGTTTTCTCAGATTCCTGTGAGGAGTGGTTATAGAAAGTAAGCACCACTTGTTAGGACATCTGAAGTCCTGACATGACATCAACTACTTAGAAGTCACTTGCTAGTCTCAAAAGTAATTTCCTTTTTAGTGTCTAGCAGAGAAGCAAACAAAACCACATCGTCCAAAGCAGAGCGGCAGTGACCCGGCACTGCAGCTCCCTCTGAGCAGGTGAGTGGCCCTGGGAGTGAGGCGGGCAGACCCCGGATGTCTGTGCAGACAGGTGCCATCCTTGGGAAAGTCCCAGGCAGCTGCTGGGGGCGGGCCTGAGCAGCGATGGCCCTGGGCCCGGGGCGGGGTGCTGTTTATGAGACTGTAACAGGAACCACGGAGCTGAGGGAGGATTAGCTGCTCCGCCACACAGGAAAGCTCATCTCAGGACAACGACCTGGCTCCCCTAACCCTATAGGACGCTCAGCAGGTGCTCATCAGTCAGGACACAGCACCCTGCCCAGGGGTGTTCTTGGTGACCCCTGCTTTTGCTCTTTCAGGCGCCCGACCCGAAAGGTCCATGGGAGGCAGGTGTGATGTGCCAGCCCCACTGAGAGTCCCGCTTAACCAGGACTCCCACGAGGTGGCTAGACGCCTACGTCATTTCTCGTCACAGGCGGTCTTCTGTAACGTAGCCGGTTCCCCAGGAGCTGAGGCTGTCACTTAACCGAACCTGGGCCGGAGGGAAAAGGCAGGGAAAAGGCTCGTTTCTTTCTCTTTCTACCCGGTTTTAAAAGTAAGGAATTGGTTCAATAGCTGTTTCAGTTTGTAAGAAATTATTTTGAAATATTTCTCTGGCTTTTCTCTTTTGAGCATGATAATAGACTGCTAAATTTTTATAGATTTAATGTGTTTTTATCAGCTACGACTACTATTCTTTTTGGTTCGAAGGTCATTCCTTTGGCTGCTGGGAGCCCCTCATAGGCTTCCCTTTGATGTGACCCCTCAGAGCTCTGAGAGCTGCCACGTGCCCTTCCACCAGGCGCCTCCTGCCCTCTGCCTGTGTTGCCCGCAGCATGTGTGCAGAAAGGTCTTTGCACCAACATACGGGCTCGGCACTCTTGCTGCTGGAGCTATGTCACTCCTCAGCCATGTCAGTGTCCTCAGTATGTAATACTTGTAAATTCACTTAACCGTTTCCTCTGTTACATAAGTGTGTCCAGTGTAGAGGTGACTGCAGTTGTCTTATTTTCAATGTGAAGGCTTTTGTGTCCTGGCAGCTGAGAGTTCTGAGAAGGCGGCAGCTTCTGGTGGTTTCTTAAACAGGAAGTCGGAGTTGGGGTTCCTACTGCCCTTGGAGGGGCCAGGACCATCTGAGCAATCGGTCACCTCCTCTGTCTATGCTGATGAGTTCTGGCTAAACAGAGCAGTTCCCCCTTTTACAGTTCCCCTTTAGCCCTGTTACAACCTACATAGTTTAAGTTTTTTGGGTTTTTTAAAAAGATTTTATTGGGGAAGTGGGGGAGGGGAACAGACAAGTTGCTGTCGTTTTGTTCTTCAGTCTAGCTGTGGAGGATGTTGCTTCACTGGCCCAAGTTGGCACCATCATTGCGCTCTTCCCGGGTGAGGTAGATTGGTTGCCAGCCACTGGACCACTGCTCACAGTGGCTCACGGCAGCTCTCGGGCTGGACGGCCACTCATGGCGGCTGTCAGCCACTCACGGCAGCCCAGCTCCAGGTCGAGCTGTTGTTCACCATCTTAGCTGTAGAGGGCTCAGCATCACTGGCCCTCATGTGGGATCCGAACTGGGGCCCTGCTGCTCAGAGCTGGCGTCCCAAGCCAACTCCTACCCATTGCGCCACTCAGCCAGCCCTTAAGTTTTCAATCTTGTCCTGATGTGAAAGTTTACCTTGTGCCAAGTTATATACAGCTTTTCTCTTTAAATAAATGTAACGATCTCTAAAGTTTCTACATACCATGCTATGTATTTTTATACTAAGGCCTCCATTGCATAAATGCAAATAGTTGTCTCAGTTAACGTTCTGTTAACCTTGGGTACTCGTATGTCCGTGTTTATTTTCCTCCAGGGAGATTTTAAGGAGATATGTGGTGTCTCACGATTCCACATGATAAGCAAAGGTGACGCACGTAAATGCAACTCTTTCGAGTTTTGTCTGAAACCTTCTCTTCACTCCGAAGTCAGTGCCAACTCTGCTTTTGTGTATTTTCCAGCCCAAATAAATACCCTTGACATAGCTCCCCTACCCCAAAGCTTTTAGTGACTAGTTATTTCAAAATAGGCCTTTTTTAGACAGGGCAGGCTGTCTAACACCAGTTTAGATTGTACCCTCCAACAAGGAGCGTGACTGCTTAGTCCTCACGCCCACGATTCCTGGTGAGAAATGAGGAGAGGCCACGCGCATCCGGAAGTACTTTTTACCATTATCACAGTGCAGTGTCCTCTTCGGGACGGACAGGGGGTAGAGTTCCTGACTTGTAGGCCCAGAGATTT